GTTCACGTTGGGCTCTGATTTGAATGGCCACACCGTGGTGGCTGTGATTGGAGGAGAGGAGGAGCACTTTGAAGATTTCGGCGAGAGCAACAACACCTCAGATCTGCTGCTGGCCAATCAGGAGGAGGGAAGGGTGAGGCCAGACGGGGAGGGAGATGCAGAGCCACTCCCACACTCAGACAGCCCACTGCCCCACCCACTGATGCTGCTCTCTCCAAGGTAACACAACAAGCTTAACATGCTACACATACAAATGCTGGAATATTTAAAGCATTAAAACATTCTCTTGTTGCATACCTGTTGTATATCTTATAAACTCGATGTATAGAAAATAGTAAGTCATCATTTATCTTGAGTTAAAGGTTCTGTGAAATTAAAATAAAGTATTAAATGTTAGTATGTTAGTCTTAAGGACTATTTTATGAACTAGTTTACTACGAAACAGTGACAAAATTCATTTTTAGAAGATAAAACGAAAACGGATTTAAGATTTTTGTGATGTGACCTCATCACATCTTTTGACCAATTAAATGCTCTCCAGTATCTGACATGACCCACCCCCTTCAAAACGCTTCTTATTTATTGCGCTTGAGTTTAACCGCTCTCACTGGCAGAGCTGTGAGAAAAAACAAAACACTATTGGCTTTTTTTTTTTTAAAGGGGAGGAGCTACTCTGTCCCACCCTCTTTTCAAGTTTCAGTTGGGATTATGTCAAACATCGAATAACCTTTGATGTTTGACGTCACCTTTAAAGGGCACCTATGGTGAAAAATCTACTTTTCAAGCTGTTTGGACAGACATGTGTGATAATTTAGTGCAGGGGTCATCAATCTCGGTCCTGGAGGGCCGGTGTCCCTGCAGGATTTAGCTCCAACTTGCCTCAACACACCTGCCTGGATGTTTCAAGTATACCCAGTGAGACCTTGATTAGCTTGTCCAGGTGTGTTTGATTAGGGTTGGAGCTAAAATCTGCAGGACATCGGCCCTCCAGGAACAAGTTTGGTGACCACTGGTTTAGTGTATAGACCGTCATATTGGGGTGATATAAACACACTCAGTCTTTTTTTTTTTCAATTTATCAACATAAAAACGGTAGACCAAAGGAACGGTTTTGAGACCGTCTGCAACTTGACGTAGTAGTGCGGTCCCACCGCCCACCAATATTGATTGACAGGCTCTCATTACCCTCAGTTTGTTGTTTAACGTCTGTCATTTTCAGCGTGTGAGTCAAAGCGATGTCACCAAAGGAACACCCTTGCGCTATTTATAGATGTAAAGCTCATTGGGCTCAACACAAGATCAACATTCACCACATGATCGCTCTTATCTGCACCATTGTTTGTAACTTTAGGTGGGTTTGCAAACATGTGTACTTATCATTGCGTCTTTCTTAAACTTTAGCCGTTTGCATTTCCCGCAGCCACAGAAGCTCCCTGTCATTCTAACTAGGTGCAGCTGGAAAGTGCGAGCACGTTGCCTCACGTGCTTGTCCCTCCATTAGAAATAACAAACTTGCCTTTAGAAGGTTGCACACCATAAGCCCTGCTCGACGACATGCAGCGCCACGCAGTGCCATGCATTTCAGAATTTTAAACATAGGTTTCTATCAGAGTACACACATTAGCGCCTTAAGTTGGTGGCAGCCCGGAGTGCATAGCCACGACTCGGGACACTGTTCATATTTCAGCCGTCCGACAGAGCGCTCTCTGAATAGTTTTGTTTTAAATAACATGCGAATGTGCGTGTCTGGTGTGCCGTGTAACAGTTCTGAGCTGTACATCCAGTGTGTGACGCACTTTAGTGATAGCCTTAGTCAAAGTTAATTCAGTGTGCATGATTATTAGTCTTGGTGTACAAGCTCAGAACTTAAAACTAGCACACAGTTGGCTGTAAAACTATCCGAAGACACAAATGATTTTGTACTCTGTGCTTGGTCTGTGTCCGAGTCGTACATGCACGACTGAATGCTGATCCTCTCACTCATGCTGCTTCTCTCTGTCTGCCTGTCTGTTGCCATACACAAAGCGGGGAAGCTCTTGGCTCTGCCCCCTTGTTAAGTTTGGCGGGAAGTTGAAACTAATTTTCATGTGAAGCAACACGCCTCTAAAACAGCAAGCTGTGTACACGACCCCAACATGACACTTTTAACACATTATAATAAACAAATCTGAACTGTGTTTTGAACTGAACCTAAACTGGCACACTCAGAAGAACCATAATATTAATATTAAATAAAACAAAGAGGTAAAATAGGTGCCCTTTAAATATGGAAAGTATAAACCTAAGTGCTGTAAATGTATGCGTAGGCTGATCTGAAGGGACAGCTCGACTATACTCGCAAATAGAAATACACTCTATTTCTAGTTTCCATACAGAGAAAGTGAGTCGGTATTGTGTTTGCCAAAGTTCATGTGCATAATGAGACCTTGCAGAGCGACATCCTGACTACAGACCATGTCTCATTTTCAAACAGCATGCGTGATAGACACAACATAAGCCTTTCTATGAGAGTTTGTGTGTGTGTTGAGATCTCTGTTGGATGTGTCAGTGGTAAAGGCGGAAGCAGAGTGATGATATGCTGGGTGATTCATTATTTCTCTGGTGAACTATTAATATCCATGGGTAAAGGTTGAGGTTTGTGGTTATTGTTTTACTGGAGTGCTGGTGTTGTGAGGCATACTGTATGTCCTTCTGTACACACACTAGAGAAGAGAGCATGGAAGCACAATAAACACTCTCAGACCTGTTTAAGTAATAACACACACACTGCTCCTGCTGAGTTGGGGGCCATTCACACGGATTGTGTTTTTACGTATAAAAATGCAAGATGTAGCACTCTTGAATGTTTTTTTTTTTTTTTTTTTTTTTTTTTAAGTGCCACCACCACCGTGTTAACAAATAAAACAGTTGTCATGCCAATAGGGTATATGCCGAGCTAGTGCTGTTCCCATGCTGATACACTTCCGGTGACCTTTTATTGTGAACTTTTTCCCATTTTAATAGGTTCCTTATACAGCATCGATGTTGTAATGTCATTAAAATACATTCAGTTAAATGAACTGTAGCATTTATTTAGTTCCTCAAGCGTAAAACGAGACAAAAAGCCGTTTACTCGCACGCGCCCGTCAGAATCGGCAGGCTAACGCAGAAGCTCCATTGAATACACTGTGGTAAAATAAATGCTCATATTATAAAGATATGGCGGGGGAAAATGTAATTTAATGCAGTGCTTCTTGTACAATCTGAGACCCATTTTAAATCGGATATCACTCATCTAGTGGAGATCCCGGATTTTTAAAGAAAACAGACCTTAAACGCACCGGGTTTTGCCGGAAGCGCTTAACCCAGGTTACTGGCAAATTAAAAGTCCTATTAGCATGCTTCGGCATATACCCCATTTGCTACTGTAAACAGAAGCTTTCTACACTTTCCCCACCTCCAAGTTCCTCTGATTGGTCCACTGAGTTGGATATGTTTTAGTCTACATATTTTATGTGCATTTTGGACCATCACATAAATATAAATGCGTAATGTAAATCCCCCCCAAAATGTTAAATACGCATAAAAACTAGTGCACACAACTAAGTTGGATACATTTTTTATCTGCTAAAAAATGTGTTGGGCGACACAGTGGCTCAGTGGTTAGCACTGTTGCTTCACAGCAAGAAGGTCACTGGTTCAAGTCCCAGCTGGGTCAGTTTGCATGTTCTCCCCGCAAACTCTGAGAACTGCATTACTGCTTAAACTGACCCAAAATGTTTTGCGTTTTCTTGTAATGGATTGATTAATACTCATTAGACTCATTGTGCAAGGTTTGTTTACGTGAATTTTTTTTTGCATATGAATATAAAAAAACTCATATGAACATTTCGGACTTCAGACCTTTACGCACCATCATAACTCATGAGTAGGCCTACACGAAATCTGCGCGCACAGAAATCCACAGATTTTTAGCCCATCATTGATTGTTTATTTACTTGTGTAAATGTGTGTAAATTTATATTTATTCAGTTTTTAAATTATTTTCAGTAATATTATTGAGTAATATGAAAATATTTGTATGATTTATTTACAATAAAGTTTGTAAAGTAATATTTTCTGTCCTTTAGTAGATATATTATATGAGAGACTTGCTTTGTTTACTAAATAGAGTGGATCCAATTGAATTTGCATTTTAAACATTAAATAAACGTTAAAAATGTATTACATTTTAGTTCATATATTAAGTTATTTAGTTACGACACTCCCAAAATCTTTCCGCATAAATCCACAGATTTTTAACCAAAGTTCTAAATTAAAACAACTTTTCACCTCAATGAGGAATCTCTTCGCGATTTAGTCACGAGAGCTCTCGTAGCGCAAGATCTTGTCACATCCCTAATTATTATTATTTTATTATTATTATTATTATTATTATTATTATTATTAGCTATGTCTTCAGCGTCTTTGCTCCCAAAGGGCATATCATGCTGTTTGTTCATTGTGTTTCGTCTTCGTCTTCTGAAGTAATTTATTATATAGGAAAAAAGTGGTCACAGTGGCTTTTTCCATTTTTAAATTTGGCACAAGCTTATCGAGAAGTGACGATTAGGAAGCAAACAGTGCTTTACTTTCCAAAAGCATAATCCAGTTTAGTAGTGCCTAAGTTCCATCTATGGATGGAAACATACTAGCTATTGATGAGGCACACTGAAATATTTTATTTTAGTTTATTTGTTTACAGGGTCAATGCACATTAATAAACATTACTGTAAAATGTGCCAGAATTAGCCAAGAATGGCTATTTTTCATCCGTAGACCCCTTACAGAATGTTAAAAAGTCACACCTAAAATAGAAGCACAACATTAAACATTAAATACACTTTCATTTAAAAAATACAGTTAAAAAAGTAAAGAAAAGAAAAAAAGAAAAGAAAGGGAAAAAAAAGAAAAAAATGATGGCAGCAGAGGACAAAAAGCCAAAGACAACAGTACAAATGTGTCAAGAATACAGTACTAATGCTGACAATGCTGATTTGTCAATAACCAATTTTTAACATGAGACTGAAAAGAACGAAAAGTGCACGATCTTCTAATTGTTGGTGGGATGGAGTTCCATTCCCTAGCAGCTCTCACTGAAAATACAGATTGACTGAATTTACTTTTTTTGAGAGGAATAATGCAGTCCCCTCTGTCACCCCCTCTAGTAGTTCGGTGAGCAGACGTTCTAATATTTACAAACTGATTTAATGGTGAAGTCGGGTTATGTAAAGTCTTAAACATTAAACAGATATGTACATATATAATTAAGTTTTCCCAACTAAGCAGGTTGTATTTCTTTAATATTAAACAATGGTGATATTGAACTGATTTCTCATCAAGAGTTTTTATGGATTGTTTGTATAAAGATTCAAGTGGCTTCAGAGTAGTGATGCTGGCTTGGGACCAAGTGGTTGAACAATAAGTGATGTGAGAAATGATCATGGAGAGATAATAGATTAGGGCAGCCTCACATGACATCTGATCACGAATAAATCTAAAATTTGCTGAACTGAATCTGACCCGGTAACAAAACCTTTTTAACCTGAGACTGAAATGATAGTTTTGAATCTATTAAAACTCCAAGGTACTTGTACTCAGATACAACTTGTAGTCTTTCCCCTGATACAAATACATCTGGTACTACACTTAGCCTACCGTTCTTAGAAGAAAAGTTAAAAGTTGAAATTCTTTAAGGCCCCGTTTACACTAGTGCGTTTTAGTTTTAAAACGGCGTTGTAGAATGAAAACGATCCGCGTCCACACTCGCGTTTTACCCAGCGTTTCTGAACAGCTCTCCGTCCACACCAAAACGCTGAAAACGCACATCACGTGACCACACACACACTCTCGAGCAAGCGCTCCAGCATTTCTACCCAGATGAGAGCTCTGCTTGTCGGACTGCTCATCAAGCATCTCCCGCTGGATCTAATCTCACTATATTTGCTAAACGTGATATTTCATTCATGTTGTTGTCTTTATCTATTGACATAGGCCAATTCCCTGACTTTGGTCATTGGAATCTATTAAGTTACTTGTTCACGGGTAACTTGTTTTGCTTAAGCGCAAAGATAAGTTAATGATTAATCCAGGTACATTGACTGATCGCTTGCCTTTATTTCCCACAATGTATAAACTTATTGTATGTTATACTTTTATAATTATCGATTATTAAAACTGATATTTAGCAAAAGAGAGGGTGTGTTTCGTATTTTCACTGAAATTGAAAGGAGGCAGTTGTTATCGGCTCCGTTTTGTTATAAATATCCACACAGTGAAGATGACGCTCATATATGCAGCACGACGCCTCAACATTTCTGCTGTCTGTTAAGTTGCTAATATTAAAATGAAAATAGGCAGTTCCTTAAATCATGTTTACATTTCATTGTTGAGAAAGTGAAACAACGTAGCCAAGGTGATGTGAATGAAGTTATAAAGCACACTGTTCCCTTTGAAGATTTACCCGTGTCCTCTGTATGTTTTCCATATCAAACTGAGAAGGGGGAGACTGCAGCCTTGATCAAACTTGCGAAGTCTTAACTTACAAGAAGAGGATGCGAGACTGAACTGTGTGTGGGCTACTTAATATTGAGGAAAAGCCCCAATCAGATTTTCAATCAGGCGAACGTTTGACGAGGCGCCCCGCCTCCGTTTTCAGATGTCTCCGTCTTTCCCCATCCACACTGAGACGGAGCAGCAGCGTTTCAGAATGAAAACGGCCTCTCCAGCGTTTTCAAAAAGCTCCGTTTTCGGCGCTCGAGAACTCCGGCGTAGTGTGGACGGATGGCGTAACCGTAGCAAAACTTATGCGTTTTCAAACTAAAACGCACTAGTGTGAACGGGGCCTAAGTTGACGCGGCATCTTCACAACGCAGCACTCATCACACATGCCGTCAAGCTCATTTACCTAGAAAACAATGGAAAAATTGTGCATTGGAATTGAAAGTGTGAATGAGCGCTTGTGCCTCCTGCACTGTAGTGTTCACTCTGTAGATCCTCCTCTGCCCTTCACCTGCTCAAATCAATGTTCCCTGTTCTCTCCCTCTGCTCATCCCCGATTTAACACACACTCACACCTCCTCATTTCTCTGTTGATTTCCCTTCTCTCCTGCTTCGTTTCTCCTCAACTTAATGCTCACTCTAAACTTTCCCCTGCTTTCACTTCATTACTCCTCTCTGCTCATTTCTTTTCATTTATTCTGCTGTACATTCTTCATCTCTTTATTTCCTGTCATCATATTCTTCTCCTCCTTCATTTCTTCTCGCATTTCCTTGTTTCTCCATCACTTGTGCTTTCCTCCTCATTCCTCTTTTGTTCTCCTCCTGTGGTCTCCTCAGCCCCAGCTCTTTTCCCGCTAGCTTCCAGAATTTCCTTCAGTCGGAGGCGCTGGAGTTTTTCTGCACTCACTGTCATAAGCAGATAAGTCGTCTGGAGGATCTGTCCACGCGACTGCAGCTGCTAGAGATGAATAGGTAACGCGCTCGCAGCATGTGCACGCCTCCCTGTGTGTGTGTGAAGTTTGAGCACTGTCACAAACACACACTCATTGTCTGATTGTTAGTGTGTGTGCGCTTTAGTATCACGCAGATTTCTGTGCAGTGTCACATGACTCATGTTGGTTTCAGTTTCAGGGTGTGTTTTCTGTAGGTGAAGTGTCTGTGGTGATTATAGATGCTCTGCTGTAGACGCTGTGCTGTGCTGTGTTGTGTTCTGTGTGTGTTTGATGCATGCACAAGTGTTTTTGATTTATATATTGTTAAAGTCAAAATGATTAACCCTCCTATGAATTAATTTTATTCCTTTTTCAAACATTTTCCAAGTATTTCCTATAATATTTCTTTTTTTTCTGAGAAAAGTCTCATTTCTTTAAGTTTGGCTGTAATAAAAGCTGTTTTTTAAAAACAATTTTAAGGTCAATATTATTAGCTCCCTTAAGAAATATATATTTTTTATATTATCTGCAGAACAAACCCCATAAGATATCATAAGAAAGCTTCTTAAAGAGACTACAAGACTAGACTAGTTTCTATATAATCAGTGTTTACTATGCTTTCATTGTATAGACCAGGGTTTTCCCAACCCTGTTCCTTAAGGCACACCAACAGCACACATTTTTAACCTCTTCCTGATCAAACACACCTAAATCAGGTCATCTGTACATTAGAAGAGACTCTGAAGCCTGAAGTTAATGGGTCAGAAAGGGGAGACATCAAAAATATGTACTGTTGTTGTGCCTCTAGGAATAGGGTTGGGAAACACTGGTGTAGACAAAACTAGCAATATACACTCATCGGACACTTTATTAGGTACACCTTTCCAACAGCTTCTTAACGCAAATTACTAATCAGCCAATCACGTGGCAGCAACTCAATGCATTTAGGCATGTAGACATGGTCAAGATGATCTGCTGCAGTTCAAACCGAGCATCAGAATGAGGCAGAAAGAGGATTTAAGTGACTTTGAACGTGGCATGGTTGTTGGTGCAAGATGGGCTGGTCTGAGTATTTCAGAAACTGCTGATCTACTGGGATTTTCACGCACAACCATCTCTAGGGTTTACAGAGAATGGCCTGAAAAAGAGAAAATATTCAGTGAGCGGCAGTTCTGTGGGCGCAAATGCCTTGTTGATGTCAAAGGAGAATGGCCAGACTGGTTCCAGCTGATAGAAAGGCAACAGCAGCTCAAATAAACACTAGAGTAAAGCAAACCGATAGAATAAACCGAGTAGAGCATCTCTGAACGCACAACACGTCCAACCTTAAGGCGGATGGGCTACAGCAGCACTGGGTGCAACTCCTGTCAGCTAAGAACAGGAAACTGAGGCTACAATTCACACAGCCTCACCAAAACTGGACAAAAGAAGATTGGAGAAAAGTTGCCTGCTCTGATGAGCCTTGATTTCTGCTGACATTCGGATGGTCGGGTAAGAATTTGGCGTCAACAACATGAAAGCATGGATCGATCCTGCCTTGTATCAACGCTCCAGGCTGGTGGTGGTCGTGTAATTGTGTGGGGGATATTTTCTTGGCACACTTTGGGTCCATTAGTACCAATTGAGCATCATGTCAACGCCACAGCCAACCTGAGTATTGTTGCTGACCATGTCCATCTCTTTATGACCACAGTGTGTCCATCTTCTGATGGCTACTTCCAGCAGGATGACGCTCCATATCATAAAAGTGTGAATCATCTCAGACTGGTTTCTTGATCATGACCATGAGTTCACTGTACTCAAATTGCCTCCACAGTCACCAGAGCTCAATCCAATAGAGCACCTTTGGGATGTGGTGGAACGGGAGATTCACATCATGGATGTGCAGCCAACAAATCTGAATCTAAGATTTGAATCTATGCCACAAAGGATTTAGGCAGCTCTTAAGGCAAAAGGGGCTCCAACCTGGTACTAGTAAGGTGTACCTAATAAAGTGGCTGCTGAGTGTGTGTGTGTGTGTGTGTGTGTGTGTGTGTTTTTATATCATACTGGTTTATAATGTATTGGGTAAGCTACCTTTTAAGAAGTATCTAAAAAAAGTTAATAGAATAGGTTTTGTATTGTTCTAATTTCTAAAACCAAATTCAATAAGACTATATTGACGACTAAGGTAATGTTTGTGTTTTGGTTAAGAGTTCATGGAAACTCCTGTACTTTAAGCAGCAGTGGGAACTCTGATGTCTGTGAAAACAACAGACAAAGCATTTTCTCCACCTTCAGTCTTTCAGGAACAGAATCTCCTTTCACGCATATACGTTACACCTCTGTAAGAGCATGTGTGTGTGTGTTTGTTTCCGTGTGCTGTGAGGTCATTAGCATTGAAAGAATAGCATTGATGCTGCCTTCGACCTGCTGAAAGAGCTGACGGATCCTCAAACCTGGCTGTTTTTTGACCTGTGCTTTACAGGTCACGGATGGAAAGAGTTTTTTCTTCTTTTTCAGTCTCTTCCTGTGACTCATTTCCTGTTTGTTCTCTCTTTTATAGCTCCAGCAAGAGGCTGTCCAGTAAGAAAGCTGCAAGGTGAGATCCTCCCTCCAAACACAGCAGACGTCAGCCTTAAATTGTTCTCCCAAAAAAATGATATCATGTAGAACATTAAAGAACATGAAACTGGGGTCATGGTGATTCATATGAAGTCATCCATCTGATAGTCAGAAAAAAATACATTATTATTCATTCATTCATTTTCTTGTCGGCTTAGTTCCTTTATTAATCCGAGGTCGCCACAGCGAAATGAACCACCAACTTTTCCAGCAAGTTTTTTACACAGCGGATGCCCTTCCAGCCGCAACCCATCTCTGGGAAACATCCACACACAAACACACACACACACACACACACACACACACACACACACACACACACACACACACACACACACACACACTACGGACAATTTAGCCCACCCAATTCACCTGTACCGCATGTCTTTGGACTGTGGGGGAAACCGGAGCACCCAGAGGAAACCCACACAAATGCAGGGAGAACATGCAAACTCCACACAGAAATGCCAACTGGCCCAGCTGAGGCTTGAACCAGCGACCTTCTTGCTGTGAGGCGCAAGCGCTACCCACCGTGCTGCCTCTGATGTTAGAATAGTCACCCTGGTAACATAACATGATTAATCAATACATAATATATACAATGGGCGCAGTAGGTAGTGCTGTCACCTTACAGCAAGAAGGTCGCTGGTTCGAGCCTCGGCTCAGTTGGCGTTTCTGTATGAAGTTTGCAAGTTCTCCCCGAAGACATGTGGTACAGGTGAATTGGGCAGGCTAAATTGTCCGTAGTGTATGAGTGTATGTGAATGTGTGTGTGGATGTTTCCCATAGATGGGTTGCGGCTGGAAGGACATCCTCTGCGTAAAAACGTCCTAGATATGTTGTAAACTAATTAAATTGGCTGTAGTGTATGATTCTGAGTATGAATGCAAGTGTGTATGGGTGTTTCCCAGTACTGGATTGTGGCTGTAATAGCATTCGCTGCCTAAAACATATGCCGAAATAGTTGACGGTTCATTCCGCTGTGACGACCCCTGAAAAATAAGCGACTAAGCCGAAAAAAAAAAAGAATGAATCTGGAGTGCAAGCTGTCAGAACTGTTTGCTGTAATGTAGGTAACAGTAATGTAGGTAAAAATGTTGCTTGTGCAAAAGCTGGAAAAACGAGACTGGACTAGCATGAATATTCAATTACACGTCAGCAGGGAATGTTTTGATACGTTTGAGTTTGCTTAAACAATGTTTGTGTGTGTGTTTTAGACACTTACAGCAGTCCAACAACCTGGATGTCATGGGAGATCTGACTCAAGACATTTTGGACCTGGCCGATCGTGACATCACAGACAAGGTTTGTGAATAACAGTGTTTTATCACCTGATTAGCTGAAAAACAAAACATTCTGAAAGTGATTCCACTGATAACGTTTCTCTACATTTTTATTCTTTATAAATGTGATCCGATCTCTGCTGTTGATTTACATGCAGAACTATTTTTACATAAAAAAATGCACTTAATAGCATTTACAATAGCATTCTCTAATTCAGGGGTTCCCAAACTTTTCAGCCCGCGACCCCCAAAATAACAATGCCAGTGACTCTCGACCCCCAATATCCTCTGAGGTGGTTATAAATACAGAAACCTTGCATGCAATGACGCAGACGCACCAATTAAATTTGTGTCAGTGCTTTAAATGTGCCAGAAAGTATAACCTGATGTTATAAAATCAAAATGCATCTGACGCTATTGCTGCCTTTAATATAATGTAATTACCCCAGGGGTCGCAATCCAATAGAACTAGTAACTATAAGCTACTATAGTAACTATATAGTATATAGTAACTATAAACGACTATTTTTATTTTCAGTATAGTTATGGATAAAATATGTTAATTCTTATGGTTTAATAAAAATAAATAGATTTTTGGAAATCACCAGGCGACCCCCCTTCATTGCCCTGCGACCCCTCGGGGGGTCCCGACCCCCACTTTGTGAACCACTGCTCTAATTCATCAAAAAGTGGTAAATACATTTTTTACCTGCTGTTTCTGTTATTTTTATCTATATTTATTATAATTTAACTTTCTGTTGGGTGGATCTCAGACTTTTATTTTATATACAAGGTTAATAGCTGGCAGAAAGTTCTCACATGGTCGCTCACTGAAGCTAAGCAGGCCTGCGCCCGGTCAACAACCGGATGGGAGACCACATAGAAAAGCTAGGTTGCTGCCGGAAGTTAGCGAGACCAACAGGGGGCGCTCAATCTGCGGTCTGTGGGGGTCCTAACACCCCAGTATAGTGAAGGGGACTCTATACTGCTCAGTGAGCACCGTCTTTCGGATTAGACGTTAAACCTGACTGTCTTTGGTCCCTAGGATGTCTTTCGAAAAAGAGTAGGGGTTTAACCCTGGCATTCTGGCCAAATTTGCCCACTGGCCTCTGTACATCATAGCCTCCCAACCACCCCAAAATCATAATTAGGGTCATCACTCTGTCTACTCACCACCAATCAGCTGGTGTGTGTGTGTGTAGTGCGGTCTGGCACAAAATGGCTGCCATCACGTAATCCAGGTTGATGGATGAGGAGATCCCTTCTATGTGTAAAGTGCTTTGAGTGTCCAGAAAATCGCTATATAAATGTAAAGAATTATTATATAGTTTAACACCTAAAAAGTGGTAAATGGAGTAACTCTGTGGTAAAAACATGCAGCATTCAGTATTTTTAAAACATTGTCTTTATTGCCATTAGGGGTGTCACGATTTCGATTTTTAATCGAAATCGATCAAAATTTATGCTCAATTTCGATTATCGAATAAAAAAATAGAATCGTCGATGCTGCCACGCCCCCATGTCATGTCAGCTTGGCTTGCCAAGCGGGAAAAAAACAGGCTTGTTGAAGTGCTTGTTAAACTGCAGAAGCAGGAGACCCGTCGAGAGAACTTAAACAACTTGTTGGTTGTGCGTCTTTTTTACCGACGCCATTATAACGACACAGATCACTGCCTATTCACGAGTCCCGCAGAAAAAGTGATTGACAGGTGGTAATTATGTGTGTATCTTGCCTTTATTCATTTACTGTATGATTTGTTTATGGGTAAAACAAAGACCATGCATTATCGAAAATCGAATCGAATCGTGCCTTTAGAATCGAAAATGTAATCGAATCGAGGATTTGGAGGATCGTGACACCCTTAATTGCCATATCTATAGTTATCATGGTAACTCTTTGGTTTTGGTCACAATTCACAGTAATTACAAACCACTAACGGACACTACTAGCTTAATAAGCTTAATTAATAGTTTTGGTTTTGGGTAGAAGTTGGGTTTAGGTTTTGGGTAGGGATAAGGATGCAGAATAAGATACTACTGAACAGTTCATATCTCAATAATAGGCAGGTTATAAGTAGGGCAAGGTAGCCTCTGCTGACATTTTTTGCTATTTTTGAAGGATTTTGAGAGTATTTCAACTAAAAACTTAAGACATAAAATAAAAAATAATACCTTTTTAACTTTTATATATATATATATATATATATATATATATATATGTATATATGTATACCCACACATAGTTGAAGTCAGAATTATTAGCCCCTATTTTATTTTTTTAATTTTTTTTAATATTTCCCAACTGATGTTTACCAGAGCAAGGACATTTTCACAGTATGTATGATAATATTTTTTCTTCTGGAGAAAGTCTTATTTATTTTATTTCGGCTAGAATAAAAGCAATTTTTTATTTTTTTTAAATCATTTTAAGGTCAACATTATTAGCCTCTTTAAGCTATATTTATTTTCGATAGTCTACAGAACAAACCATCGTTATATAATAACTTGCCTAATTACCCTAACCTGCCTAGTTAACCTAATTAACCTAGTTAAGCCTTTAAATGTCACTTTAAGTTGTATAGAAAATATTATTTACTGTCGTCATGACAAAGATAAAATAAATCTGTTATTAGAAATGAGTTATTAAAACTATTATGTTTAGAAATGTGTTGAAAAAAATAAACTCTGTTAAACAGAAATTGGGGAAAAAAATAAACGGGGCTAATAATTCAGGGGGGGCTAATAATTCTGACTTCAACAGTGTATATATATATATATATATATATATTTACACACATTTACACAAGTAAATAAATGGACTTAATGATAGGCTACAATCTGTGGATTTCTGCATGCGGAGATTTAGTGTGGGTCTAGCTTATAGTTAATACCATGAATTGTGACCTAAAGTGTCAGTGAAAATTTTTACTTGTAGCTTCATTAATGTGGCTTTAGTTTACTGTGTATTCAAATGGAAAACCAAAAATAGTAACATTACCATGAAGCAATATGCAAAGTGAAATGGAAAAACAGGTAGTTGTGATTTGCATGCTGAACATTGGCCTGCGTTTCAGGTGTTGCTGCTGGAGAAGCGCGTATGTGAGCTGGAGAAGGACTCGCTGGAGAGTGAAGAGCAACATGCACGCTTGCGCCAGGAAAACCTCACTCTCGTGCATCGCGCAAACGCTCTGGAGGAGCAGCTGAAGGAGCAGGAGCTGCGCACCGAGGAGGACTTACTCGCTCAAACCCGAAAACACAGAGATGCACTTAACAAACTCCAGCGGGAGAGAGATCTGGAGATCGAGAACCTCCAGGCCAGGTGAGTGCGGAGGGAGAACATCATATATACAGTGGGAGAAATAAGTATTGAACACGTCATGTTTTTTTCCTGGGAATTATATTTCTAAAGGAGCTGTTGACATGGAATTGAACCAGATTTTGGTAAAAAACCAAACAGTACAAACATAAAAATAACAAAACAAAATCTGTAAAATTAATTCTGTGGAAAAACAATGAGATGACACAGAGAATGTGCTGAACTAGTAAAACGTCTTTAATACTTTATATAAAAGACTTTTTTTGGTGCTGGCAGCTTAAATACACCTCTCATATGGAGAATGAAGTCACATGCATTGCTCACGTGTGAGTTTAGACTTCACAGGGTCTTAAAAAGTCTTAAAATAACTTAAATCTCAAAATCCAAGTTTTAGGCCTTAAAAAGCCTGAAATACTGTGTTGTAGGCCTTAATTTTTTTTAAACAGGTCTTAATTTTTTTTGTTCATGTATTGAAACCAAATCTGGCCAAAATCCATACAATCATCCACAATCCATCTCAATAAACTTTTCAAATTCTTTTTTAAAAAGGTCATTTTCAACTCTATTTATCTTAATACTTTAATTATTTTCCTCACAATAACAATTGTTTAAAGGTTCTCCATGTATTTACTGCTGGGCACACTGACCTTTACAGATTGTTGTGCATAAATTTAGTTTATTATAGTTTTAAAACTTTCAAAACATTCGTTCCTTTTTTTATTTTATTTTAAAGAAAGTGTATGTTGTAAAAAAGAAAGTGTATTGATACAACTAGAGCTTGCTTGTTTTTACACAATATTTAAAATATTGGGCTAAAAAATAAAATGTAAAAAAATTATATATATATATATATATATATATATATATATATATATATATATATATATATATATATATATATATATATATATTAATATTAATGTATTATTGTATTATTAAATAAATTAAATTATAATTTTTTTGGATAGGGAAAATAATTTTCCATCTCGGCCATTTGAAAAATTCCCTAGCCTTTAACCCTTTATAGGTCTAAAATTCCATTCATAATGGGCCTAAAAATGTCTTAAAGTCTTAAATTTAACATGGTGAAAGCTGAAGAAACCCTGCTTCAACAGAGTGTAAACATCTTGATGATTTTGTGGGTCTCGTCTTGGCATTGGTCGGCATAAGATTCTGATGGTATGATTACCTTATATATCACAAATATGAGCGACTGAGCCACAGCGCCGCCTATTTTTGCACATTGATTGCTATATATATATATATATATATTTTTTTTTTAATATAGTTTATAATATAGTTATAGTTTTCTTCTGGAGATAATTTTCCCCTAATAAACCAGATTAAATAGTCTTAAGACGCATAAAAAACAAACACATTTTTTTACATAATCATAGGAACGGTATAACAAAAAATCTTTGCGGTTTTAAAATCTAGACTTTTCCAAACCACGGTAAACCTTGAAACCGGTTATCGTCCCATGCCTAGTCTTGTCTATCAAATCTGAGCTTTATTTTGTATTTTCTATTGGATTCGGTTCAGGTGATCGGCTGGGCCATTCCACAGCTTGATTTTCTTTTTCTGAAAGCATTTGAAAGTTTCCTTGGCTGCGTTTTGGATCATTGTCTTGCTAAAATGTCCACCCTGGCTTCATCATCATCATCATCCTGCTAATGTAGATGTTGGACTGAAGCATCTGATATTCATTTACACTGATGAAGGGCAGAGAGTTGCTGAAGAACTACTGAGAGATTTCAGATGCTGTCTGGGCATTCACTGCCTGTCTACAGCTCCCTTTCTTCATGTGTTCAATACTTTTTCCCTGTGCCATTTCATTTTATTACACTTAATTTCTTTTGTTAACTAATTAGATTCGTTTTCTTTGCATATTTGGATTTTTTTTTTGGTTGTTACCAACATCTGTTGAAAATTTCAAGTCAACTGCTTCTTTAGATATGTTTTCTGAAGTAAATGGTGATGTGTTCAATACTTTTTTCCCTGCTGTATTGTCATATCATGGTAGAAGCAGCGCTGTTTAATCAGACCAAATACATTGTAGACTACAATAATAATGCGCCTCCGTTCAGTCTAATAAAACACACAACATGTTAAAGCCTCCCTGCTGTTTCCCTGAATTCTATATAACCAATCCGGAAATGGAGAAATGAATGTTAAATCAGTACAGTTTGCAACAGCAATATTTAATAAAAACAACTCGAAATGTTTTGATTGCAAACATATTTCTATGATGAATGAAGCAGAGACGTGTCTGTTGGAGTGCTGTGTCTGAGTCACGAGTCTCGCTCTGCATAATGTTAAACACAGTTGGCGAGGTGTGATTTTTAGGAAACAGCCCTCCAGAGGCAGTCATTAAGCTCAGGTAACGTCTCTTCAGGGTCTTATTATAGCCCGGAAATATGAAGCCATTACGAAGACGCAGGTGCATCATATGCAGCAAACACTGTGTCTCGGTCACATATTCAGCATGATTATAGTGTCCTTCAAACATTGTTGTGTTCCTTTAGCATACAATGTTACATGAGCAGAAAAAGGATTAAAAATGAAGTCAATCCATCATAATGTGCCATCTATACACGCCATTTTACTAGCCAGGATTTCTATATTTGGCCTTGTTTGAATGACTAGAAGACCAAATACGGGAAAATACCTTTAAAGGATTATAGCGGAATACAACTTTAAAACATGGGAAATCCCAGAAAAAAACGGAAGGGTTAACAGGTATGGACTGCTCAGTGCGAACAGATATTTTTGTGCAAAATGGATGTATTATGAGTTTGCATGTTCTCCCTGTGTTGGCGTGAGTTTCCTCCAGGTGCTCAGATTTCCCCCACAGTCCAAAGACATGCACTATAGGTGAAGTGTATAAACTTTGCAGCTGGAAGGGCATCCGCTGCGTAAAACAGATGCTGGATAAATTGGCGGTACATTCCACTGTTGTGACCCCTGTTGCAGGATATATATATATATATATATGCCTCACAGCATAAAGGTTGCTGGTTCGCTATAGGTGAATTGGATAAACTAAATTGTCCGTAGTGTATAAGTGTGTTTGTGAGAGACTGTGAGTGTGTATGGGTGTTTTCCAGTTCTGGGTTGCGGCTGGAAGGGCATCCGCTGCCTAAACATATGCTGGAATAGTTGGTGGTTCATTCCTCTGTGGTGACCTCTAAAATAGAGGCTAAACCAGAGGAAAATGAATATATGAATGAATCAATCAACAGATTGAAGAGAGCTTTAACATTGTGGGGTTGTGTCCAGCTCTACTGTGTGTGTTTATAATGTGCTGCCATCTAGTGGAGACCTGCAGAAATATTATTATACTTTTCAAAGCTTGTCTGAGATGACTTGGCTGAGGGTTTAATGTAATGCGGCTGTGTTAACAGAGACTATTGCTTTCTCTCCGCCAATGTTGTGTTCAACTGTTTTCTTTAGTGAACTCTGCCCAAAAAGAAAACATCATTGTGTGTTTGCGTGTGTGTGTGTGTGCCCGCATGTTCTCAGGTTGCATCAGTTGGATGAGGAGAACAGCGAGCTGAGGTCATGTGTTCCCTGTCTGAGGGCCAACATCGAGAGACTGGAAGAGGTACGCAACACACACACACACACACACACACACACACACACACACACACACACACACACACACACACACACACACACACACACAAAATACACATACACACAAAATACACACACTTAACAAACATACACACATGAAATTAACTTACACACAAAATACACACACGCAACACAAGATACATACATGCGAAATACACATACATACAAAATACACACACACACACACACACACACACAAAATACACATACACACAAAATACACACACGCAACAAACACATACACACACGAAATACACATACACTCAAAATACACACTCACACACGAAACGCTACACACACACATATACACACAAAATACACATACACAAAATATACACACGCAACACAACATACACATACACACAAAATACACACACACACACGTGACATGAAATACACATAAACACAAAATACACACACATACGCAACACACACACACAAGATACACATACACACAAAATACACACGCAACACACATACATGCAAAACAGATACACTCACAATATGCACACATTCACACATGTGTATGCGTGTGCACATGTGTGAGTGTGTGCGTATTGCTTGTGTATCTGTATTGTGTGTATATGTACTGGAAAACACCCATACACGCACACACAAACACACACACTCACTTACACACACACTGTATACACACACACACACACATACACAATAATCCCTTACACACACAAAACATTCACACTTACACACACACAATACACTCACTCTGAGACATATTTACTCACACACACACAAAATGCTCACTCACATAAACACACACACAATACTCATAAACTCACTCACACAAACAATACTCACTCATACACACACACACAATACTCACTCACATATGCAATACACACACAGAATACTCCCTCACACACAATACACACTCTCACACTCTCTCAGAGACACACCACAATTTTGTTTTTGTGAATTGTGGGGACATTCCATAGGTTTCCATTGTTTTTGTACTGCTCAAGCTTTATTTTCTATGGCCCGATAGCTCAACCCTACACCTTACACAACCCTTACAGGAAACTGCATTTTTATTTATTTTAAAGAGATTTCTCTTTTTTACAGTTTTGAATATTTTCTTTGTTTCAGGAAAAGAGGAAGCTTCAGGACGAGGCAGACGACATCACACAGCGCCTAAATGAAGAAAGCGAATCACGCAGGAAAATGTCCGACAAGCTGAGCCATGAACGACACACCAACCAGAAGGAGAAAGAGTGCACTCAGGGGGTGAGAGAGAGGCCTTGTGTTTGTCTTTATAGGTGGAGTAGTGTGTGTGTGCTCCTCTGTCTGTCTATCTATCTATCTATCTATCTATCTATCTATCTATCTATCTATCTATCTATCTATCTATCTATCTATCTATCTATCTATCTATCTATCTATCTATCTATCTATCTATCTATCTATCTATCTATCTATCTATCTATCTATCTATCTATCTATCTATCTATCTATCTATCTATCTATCTATCTATCTATCTATCTATCTATCTATCTATCTATCTATCCAGCGCTTCACTTGTTTTTATGTTACAGCCTTATTCCAAAATGGATTAAATTCATTTATTTCCTCAACATTCTCCACACAATCCCCCATAATGACAATGTGAAAAAAGAGTTTTTGAAATTGTTGCAAATGTATTTAAAAAAAACCTGAGAAATCGCATGTACATCAGTCTTCACAGCCTTTGCTCAATGCTTTGCTGATGCACCTTTGACAGCAATTAGAGCCTCAAGTCTTTTTCAATATGATGCCACATGCTTGACACACCTACCTTTAGGAATTTTTGCCCATTCCTCTTTGCAGTACCTCTCAAGCTCTATCAGGTTGGATGGAAAGTGAGGGTGTTTCAGATATGTCCAGAGATGTTCAATAGGATTTAGGTCTGGGCTCTGGCTGGGCCACTCAAGGACATTCACCGAGTTGTTGTGAAGCCACTCCATTGATATTTTGGCAGTGTGCTTTTGGAAGATGAACAGTCAGCCCAGTCTGAGGTCAAGAGCACTCTGATGCAGGTTTTTATTCAGGATGTCTTTATACGTTCATTCATCTTTCCCTCTATCCTGACTAGTCTTCCAGTTCCTGCTGCTGAAAAACATCCCCACAGCATGATGCTGCCACCACCATGCTTCACTGTAGAGATGGTATAAGCCTGGTGATGAGCGCTGCCTGGTTTTTTCAACACGTAACGCCTGCCATTCACTCCAAAGAGTTCAATTTTAGTCTCATCAGACCAAAGACTTTAGTTTCTTATGGTCTGAGAGTCCTTCAGATGCCTTTTTGTTGGATTGCTGCACAGATGGTTGTCCTTCAGTAAGGTTCTCCTCTCTCCACAGAAGAATGCTGTAGCTCAGACAGAGTGACCATCGGGTTATTGATTACCGCCCTGACTAAGGCCCTTCTCTCCTGATCACTCAGCTTAGATAGCCGGCCAGCTCTGGGAAGAGTTCTAGTGGTTCCAAACATCTTCCACTTACGGATGATGGAGGCCTTGTGCCTCCAGACAATCCTGTCTTGGAGGTCTACTGGCAATTCCTTTGTCTTCATGCTTGGTTTGTGCTCTGACATGCACTGTCAACCCTGGGACCTTATGTAGACAGGTGTATGCCTTTTCAAATCATGTCCAATCAACTGAATTTACCACAGGTGAACTCCAATGAAGCTGAATCTGTCTGTCTGTCTGTCTGTCTGTCTATCTATCTATCTGTCTATCTGTATTTATCTGTCTAGCTGCCCAACCGTTTGTCCATCCATCCATCCATTTATCTATCTATCCTTCTCTTTGTGTCTGTCTGTCTGTCTGTCTGTCTATCTATCATGTTTTAGATCCACATCAGCATCATTGGCTATATACAGTACATTGGGAACATTGCTAATGAATATTCTGTTTATTTCCCCCCCCTACTGTTTCTTATCGAAGACACATTATACAAAAACATCCAGATAACAACACCACAGAAAAAAAGGCATATTAGCTATTTCAATATGTTCAATATGGTCATTGATAAATATTGTCAAAGTCCTTCAGCAGGCAACTTTTAAAAAATTTCCCTCAACATATTTACTGAATTAAAACAATGTCTGCTTTATACTCAAACTATTCTTACACAACTCACAAATTGGTTTCTTTTCCCCCTTCAATAAATATGGGTAGTGTGTGAATCTATAGACTGTTTTGAGAAATGTAAACAAAAACAATGGGCCTAATGTATTTTCTGTTCAACTCTTTTAATTTTTATAGCTTCTGAGAAAACTAAAATGATATCACATATTGGTAAATAGGGTTATGATGTTATAAATTGAGGATTGAATTGCCTCTTGTTACGGTTATGAAGTAATTTCACAACAAGCAGGAACTGTTTGAAAGGCAATGACATCACCACATTGATATATGTATGTGTGTGAGCCAATTTTACACCTCGTATGTGCAACCTGGTCATGTCTATTTTCAAAATGGTAATTATTTCTTTCATTTACGTAATGGATTCACTTCATACAATTTGTTGTTTGTACATTCGTCCATTTCCCGTTAATGCACAGATTCAAAAAGGGTTTTGTGTTGCTCTGCTAATGACTGCTCTCTCTCTCTCTCTCTCTCTCTCTCTCTCTGTCTCTCTCTCTCTCTCTGTGTAGTTGATAGAGGACTTGAGAAAGCAGCTGGAACACCTGCAGCTGTTCAAGTTGGAGACTGAAGCGAGAAGAGGCCGATCTTCCAGCAACGGCCTGCAAGAATACAACACACACATGAGAGAGAACGAACTGGAGCAGGAGATACGCAGACTCAAACAGGTCAAAACACACCTTTCAGTGCTCATCCTAGACTTAGGCCCTGTTTACACTAATATGTTTCAGTTTTAAAACGCATACATTTTGCTATCATTACGCCTTCCGTCCACACTACCCCGGAGTATTCAAGCCCTGAAAACGGAGAATGGTTGCCGAGCTTCTGACATTCCTGTTATCCTTTTCCTCAATAACAAGTACACAAATTCAGTCCTGCATCCTTTTCATCTAAGTTTAGACTTCACAGGTTTGATATGGATAACAAAGTACCAAGGACACGTCAACAGTGTTTCTTATAACCTCACTCACATCACTTTGGCTATGTTGTTTCATTTTCTTAACAATAAAATGAAAACATATGAGAAACTGCTTCATTTTAATTTTTATACTAACAGCTTAACAAACACCAAAACTGTTGAGGCATTGTGTAGTTACATATTTATATGATTATCATCTTCACTGTATGCATATTTATAACAAAATGGAGCCTATAACATAACTGCCTCCTTTCATTTTCATTGAAAATAATGAAACATACCCGGTCTCTTGTTGAATATCTTGTTTAATTGATATTGCTATCAGATTTGGTAATCAATAATGGCCATTGTAAAAGTATAACATACAATATATGAAATAAAGGCAAGCAATCAGTCAAATGTGCTGAATTAGTGTACGCAGTTACATAAATTAATATATTAACTTATTTTTGCTCTCAGGCAAAACACATTACCTGGGAGAGGTTAGATTGAAGAGACCAGAGAGTCTTTAGATAAAGACAAGATTAATTAAATGTCACCTTTAACAACTATAGTGAGATGAGATCCAGCGGTACATCCTTGATGAACTGATTGATGTGTGCTGCTCTCATCTGGGGAGGTGTGCTCAAAGCACCTGCTGACTGCTTGGTGCTCAGACGTGCGCACGTAATGTGCATTTTTAGAGGTGTAGTGTGAACGGAGAGATTTTTCAGAAACACTAGGTGAAACGCCAGTGTGGACGTAGATCATTTTCACTCTAAAACACAGTTTTAAAACTAAAGTGCATCAGTGTGAACTGGACCTTAGTCTCAGCCCCGGATGTCACAATGTCTGATGCATATGGTTGTCTTCTGAATGGTATCAAACTGAAATGAGCTCAAACTGATGAAAGGCAGGCTTAACCAAGACTTAAAGGGGTAGTTCACTCAAAAGTGAACATTTTCTCATATATTCTCAAGTGGTTCTAAACATTTATGGATTTCTATGTTTTGTTGAACAAAAAACAAGTTGTTCTGAAGAATGCTGAAAACAAAAGCAGCCATTGACATCCATAGTAGGCACAGCAAAAATATATGGAAGAGAATAGATGCTTTTCCACAGTGTTCTTCAATATATCTTCCTCAAAAAAAGAAACTCAAACAGGTTTCGAACAAATAGAGGTTGAATCAATGATGACTATGAACTATCCTTTAAATAAGAGACTTAATATGATACAAAACAACTTAGAAAAAATAGATTTTAAAACAACAACAACAACTCCGACTCGGATAGATAAGCTAACACCCAAAAGATAAACAGAAACAGATTAGCAACACAGGCTAACCCAACACTCAAACTGTTACAAAAAAAATATGGGTAAACAGTGACTCATACTGATTTACTAAGACCAAAAAGACTAAAACAAGACAAAACATTTAACCTGGTAAAAAATTCATAAAAAATTCAAACAAAGACTGAAAAGAAAATGACAACAGACCCAATGTTTAAACTCAGTCTTAATGTATCTAAACCTCAATTTAGTCAACACAGTATCGAAAAGAACAACTAAGGACTGTACCTATTTGAGTCTGTTTAATTTGTGTTTACTAGTTTAAGGATACAGCAAGTTAAATTTAGTATATAAGCGAGGACATTTGGCCCTCACCAGTATAGCTAAACCAGTACACAAACTTACAATAAAGCTCAGACTGCCTCAAGATATAAATGGTAAACGGTGACTCAAGCAGGTTAAATGACTGTAGTGTTGTGTCTGTTTGTTTGCAGGATAACCGCAGTCTGAAGGAGCAGAACGATGAGCTCAACGGTCAGATCATCAACCTGAGCATCCAGGGAGCGAAGAGCCTTTTTACAGAGTCTCTGTCCGAATCACTCGCTGCCGAGATCAACAACGTCTCCCGCGCTGAGGTCAGTATCACACACATACATGCTGATCTCTGCATGAAAGAAAGTCTAGGTATACCTAAGCATAATTGAATAATAAAGAGATCTGTATATGGACATTGGGAAAACCGTCAGCCTCTGACAGCACTGTTTACTCATTCTCATGTAAAATCAACAAGTGTGAAAGGGCCAATCAGAACACAAAACAGACTGTTGCGTGACTCACGGTGCATTGTCTGTGTTCGGTGTACATCTTGCTTGATGTCTGGGTGTGTCTGTGTGAAAGAGAGCTGCACTCAGAGTGGAGCTCATTAATATTCACAACCGATCCAAATATGGTCAATATGGACCTTCTGATTTTACTGGGTATTTTATGGAGAAATAAATGAGCACATCAAAGCATTTCTGGAGATTTTTTTTTTACTTGCCTCAGCCATATACCTACCCTATGTAGATATCATAAAACAATTTAACTTATTAAACCAATGCAGTATAAGGCAACTTTAAACATGAGCTCCTTATAATTAGGCATCTGTGGAGATTTTGAGAAACAATTGGAAATAATATTGTGGACACAGGGCATTTTTAGATGCTGCTGCTTTCATATTTATCCTAATTAGTGTGGATGTAGTCTTAAAAAAACAGTTACCTTTAAGACTACCTAATTGTAATGCTGCGTTCACACAAGACGCGGATAAAGCGTCAAGTGCCAGTGAATTACATGTTAAGTCAAAGCAAAGACGCGATTAGACATCCTGTGGCAAGATTCGCACGAATGAGGTGGCACAAGCAAATGAAGTGGTGCGAGTCGAGCGTTTTGTGTGTTTGACGCAGCTTAAGGTTGTATCGCACCGTTCAAATCAAGTTGGAAAGTTTGAACTTCAGTGGAGATTAACGGCGCATTAACTAATCAGGAGCTTGCTCATGTAGGGGCGTGATTAGGACGTATCGTCTGTGTTGGTGTCCAGAGGGGATATCCTCCAGTCGAGATCGGAGAACAGCTCATCAAACTGGGCTCGGCTTAGTTGGAAGCACCGCTAAAAGACTCCATCTTTGATGAACTTACAGGGCTGGGTGAACCTCTGAAAGGATCTAGTGCACTCAGTCATGGCGCCGGACTAATATACGCTGTTTTTCAGCCTTCCTGAAGCACATAAAGCACAGCTACTCTCTCAGTAAAATCCATGTTAGCCATTTAGCAGTGAAACTGCAGACAGAAGCCCTGCTCATGACGCAAATCCGCATCTGTTGTGAAGTAAATTTCAGACGAGAATGAAGTGAGTAAACGCAAAATGTTCACGTATTTATGTGCGAATATTCGTGCATGCCGCTTCTGGTGTAAACACAGCATAAGGCTGCTATTCCTTATTCAGTGTAAGACGCCAAATCATCTCACTTAATTTTGATGTGACTGAATAACTTATAAAGTGAGTTTGGAGTAAAAACGTTATTATTTGTAGTATTTTCACATGCCTTAGATGTAGCAGCATTACTAAAAACAGACTTGTAGTTCAACAGCTGTCAATATTAGAGAACGAGTATCTTCGATTTCATATTCGTGCAATTATATTATGTGCGATTTGTTGTGTAGCTTGTCAGCAAACTACGGCTTTTCACGGTAAACGTTGCTACATTTGAAACAAGGTGGCCGCAGGTCAGGATTCCTTGAAGCCTTGAATTATGATTCGATAGGTCATTAACACCTTCATGGTCGATTTGTGAGGTAAAAATTTAAATTTGTGCAAAATATAATGTCTGATATGAAATCCGTATGCAAGTTCCCTTTCTAAATAAACACTACAGTAGTATAGTTAACTGGTGATCTGAGAAATTCAGCCTGGACAAACTAAATTGTAGAATTGAAATAATTTTTTTTTTTATTTAATACATTTTTTAAAAATCAGTTTTTAAAGAAAATTTAAGCTGAACAAATGTGTGTGCATGTGTATATTTTTAACCATAAAAATTGTGTTTTTGACTTTTATTTTTTATTATTTTAACACTCTAAGAAAGCGCATGCTAGAGAGATTTACTATTGATTGCAGGTCCGGCTTTACTGACAAAATGTGCACGACAATCGATTAATCACGCACTTCTCTTTATAACTTTGACCCTGTTGTGTACAGCTGATGGAGGCCATCCACAAACAGGAGGAGATCAACTTCCGTCTGCAGGACTACATCGACCGCATCATCGTCGCCATCATGGAGTCCAACCCCTCCATCCTGGAAGTCAAATAATCCCATCTATGAACTAAAACAGGAGGCGAGAGGAGACCACCAATTCAATCACGATGTTGATCAGATTATTTAATGATTCGCCTTGTATGGATGTGTGTGTGTGTGTTGGTTTTGGTGGTTTACGAGGACACAAATTTGTTTAACCCTAACCCTAACCCTAACCCTAAGTTGTTGCAAACAATTTATATAAGCTGAACAAACACATTAAGTTACTAAATTGAATTAGTTTGTTTAAATTCAGCCCATATAAATTGTTTACAACCTTAAATAAAGTAAATCCAAATAATAATTTTTTTCTGCGGGTCCATGTAATTGAAAACTCTTAAAAGTCATATTTACATGGTCTTTTCACTTTTAAAATTTGCCACGGGTTTCTTGTGAGGGTTGGGTTTAGAGGTAAGGCCATATTATCATACCTGCCCACACTCCCGTTTTTCCCAGGAGTCTCCCGTATTTCAGACCCATCTCCCATCGCCCTCCTGTTTTGTTATTTGTCCTGGATAACTTAATTGGGAAAATTCCACCCTCCTCCCTCCAGTCCTCAACCCCCGGGTTGCAACTTTGGTATAGTATCCAATTGCCACGACCGCTTGGTACCTGACCTATAGTACAATTAGTTACTAACACCACAAACATCAGCACCCCCCCACGTTTCTCAACTGTCGAGCGCACACATATGCTCTGGCGCAATGTTCACAATGCCCTTGCCCTGGCTGACGCTGATGTTGACGCTCTCAAAAATGTAACTACACATCACAACGACACATATCGTAAGCTCTGTGATTGGTTTGCTTGATAGCTGTGACCAGTGTGGGCAGGACCAAGGGCCGGCCAAACCCATTGTAGCAACTGTTTACAAGTGTCAATCCCGTGAAGTAGCTCTAGATGGAAACTGTTGTGTTTTACCTTATGATTAAGGTTGTTGCTAGTCCAACGGTTCCCGCCTCAGAATGACCGAGATTTAGCTACTTTTACATTAAGGTAGCGTTTAGAAAAACAAAACACCCGCATAGAAACTCAACACAGAGGAACATAAACACCTACTGCCAGCTAGCGTTTCAGAAGTGTTATTGCTGATCAACACAAACAGCTCGCAGGTGTTTATGTTCCTCTGTGTCGAGTTTCTTCATGGGTGTTTTGGTTTTCTGAACGCTGCCTTCATGTAGGAGTAGCTAAAACTCGCTCATTTTGAGGCGGGAACCAGCGGATGTGCAACAACCCTTAATCAAGTAGTGTTTCCTCTAGGATGTTTTTCCAGCTGTGGCGGCAGGACTTTTTTAAACAGATCTACCAACTACCTGTGGCGTTATTTTAATGACTAATGTCATGAGCTCAGTATTAAGTTGAGATCGCATTTATTTAATAGCCCACGAGCATGCGAATCTCTTTGCTTGCGCGCCGATTTCCTCTGCTCGTGCACAAACCTTCTTGCACGCCCCCTTAAATATATACGCAGCTCAAGCACAGATCTTCTTGTGCGCTCTCGAATAAACGCTGCTGAAGTGTGATTTAGTGCGTTTATGTAACCAGTATGTCTCCAGCATTTGTTAGATTTGCTAGGAATATTTATGAATGCCTCTAATAGACCTACAGAGCGATATTAATGTGTCCTGAAGTAAAGTGAAACGGCTATACGTCGTGTTTGCTGGCCTCACGCACCTGTCAGTCAGCCAGTCAGTCAGTACGTAACCTTAAAGGGTTAAACAAATATCGCACGCACAGCACAGCACTGTAACTATGGTTACAAAAACGTTCACGCTGTTATAATTCGCTTGCCTTTGAATACATTTTGGTGCGATTATCACCCACTATTTAAAAAAAAAAAAAACACGACTGAATGTTTTAACGAAAAGCTATAATGTAGCCGTGGCGGGATCAATTTTGGCGTGGCGCCCCGCCATGGAAGAATGAATGTAGCGGAAACCATGATAAGGTAAACACAGCACAAAAGTTCTCATCTGGAGCTCCTCCACCGGACTCGACACTTGTAAACAGTCACTCCATCGGGTTTGCGGCTCTCAACTAGGCATGGGCCAGTATAAGGTTCTAACGGTATGATAACCTTGATAAAAAATATCACGGGTTCACAGTATTGTGATTACTGCTTTAAAATATATTCTTTAAAAAACAAGTTAAAAAACAATTTTTTTTTTTCGTTTTGAACAAAATATCTGTTTTAAATCACATAGTTCCATATTTAATACTACGATAAAAACAGCATGCGAGGAGTACCCAGATAACCTACTACTTCCAGCGAGATTCTGAAGTGCGCATTGCTACGCTATCCCTTGATGCACCGCAAGAGAATTCACGAATGGAAGTCAAGCGGGTATGTCACGTGATAATGACAAAATGACATTCGTAGTACGTCCTAGCTCATTCATGCTACTCACATTCATACTGTAAAGAACGTCCTAAAAGTTTCTAACAGTCGAGTAGTGAATTCAAATTTAAATGCAGTACCTACTGAGTAGCAGGCGATTTCGGACGCAGCCAATATGTTTTATTTTGAGAAACATTTAAAATATTTTGGAGCAGTAAACATGTCTGGCTACATCATATAAGTTAATCTTTGACTTCCGCTATCTACATTAGTTTCAAAAACACAAATTTATTTACAATTAAATACGGCATATTTGGATATCTTTTCGGCTGGAGATACTGTTTGTGCTAAAAAAGTAAAAAAAAATCTTACATATACCTTAGGAACGGTTTTACAGAAAAGTTTGGTGGTTTTAAAACCTTGACTTTTCCAATCCACGGTATAGCTTGAAAATGGTTCTCGTCCCATGCCTACGCTCATCAAACTGACCAATAACAGTGCTTGCGCTACGCATCGTTGCGATGTGTAGTTACAATTTTTTAAAGGTGCACGTCAGTGTTGGCTATGCGACCGTGCGAAGGCTGCACCAGACCATACGCATGCGCTTGACGCAGAAGTATAAACAAAGACTCTAGAATACACAAGACAAGTCACTCGTATAGTTTTGAATGGGGAAAAGTGTAACGATCATATGGTGAATGAAGCCCCGCCTTCTAATACAGGAGCCAATCAGCGATCACTATAGACTGAAGGTTCTCCAGGGGAGGGGCTTGAACCAGATGTCAATTTCGTGATCCGAACGTAAAGAAATGAAACCAAACAGACAGTTGATGTTTGATTGATGTTTCCTTATATGAAATGTGATCGTAAGCTTGGCAAACCGTTTTGGAGAATTTGATGTTTCCCCATTGAAACAGAATGCCTGAGAGGCATTTTAAAGATGGCCGCCGAGTGAAATGACTTGCCTTAAGGGGACTTTGGTATAAATCAGCCTTTATTTAATGCAGAAGTATAAAACAGCCTTTACTCAGACAAACTATTTCCCATCACCCTCCTCCCCCTATCTCCCTCCCATTCTCCCAGAATTTCAGAGACAAATGTTGGCAGGTACGCCTATTATAAGTGGCTTTTACAGTATGAAACGCATTACGCCTATGGAGAGTCCTTATAAATCACCAAAACTAGTGTGTGTGTGTGTGGGATCTACCTGTCTTTTGGTTCCTGTGACTTCCCTGTGTTTTGGGATTGAGGTGCCCATTCCTTCTATGCGTGTTGTGTGTGTGTGTGTGTTCACAATTCATCCAATGAATTTTGAGTGTAAACGAGTTACCAGTGTATTTCTGGGTAACGCAGTCACACCGTTAGCCCATGTGAGGGACATTTGCTGACCTGAGGGTTGAGCGTGTGCATATATTTTAGCTCGTAAATGAGTTTGGTTAGTCACTTTCGCTTGTTTTTCATATTTATTACGATGACGCAGAACGCAAAGGGTCATTACAGGCCGACGCCCATCAGAATTGTGGGTCAAGGCAAATGATCCTGCGTGATCACTCGCTGAGGATTTTCGTCTGTCGCCTCCTGGCCTGGATTTATGTGCAAATCTCACTGGAAATGTTCATTGCACTCTGATTTAATTACTCTGAGAAACTATTGTTTGCTATTTAAATAAAATGAAAATCATAGACACTCAAGCACTGAAGGGAAGCAGACGCAAAACCTTTAAACGTGCTTTTTTCTGCGCTTCATCTCTCTCTGATGTAAATATCGCTTCATTTGTTTATTCGTTCAGAATTTTAATGAACAAAGTGTTTAATTTCGTCTTCCACTCGACTGACCTCTTCTTTTCCGTGGACTTTCCTCTCATCTCAGACGATGTTTGATTTTCTCTTCGACTTTTTCATTTTGAAACGAGTTTGAAACTCAATCCTTCCTCTTTTTTTGGATTATGGCTCTCTTCACAATCTCCTTTCCTATTTGTTTTTTTATCGCGTCCGATCAGTTCCTGATGATCATTTGAGGACATTTCTGCAGTCTTCACAGCGATGGCCCTGCTGTCGCATGTATACGGCTGTTTTAGAGCTACTGTAATTACACTGATGGACATTAAAATGCAGGAAAAGCGTGGCTTCTGTGAACTTCCGCCGACTGTCTTGTCCCTTTATTTCCTTATGGAGCCGATAAGGGAATCTGACCTGACTTGATCTGATGCTAAACAGCTAGATGATTAAAACATTTCCAGTGTCCAAAGAACATTTCACCGCTTAGGAGGAGTTCTGCTTGCCACTTAGACTTTAAAAGGCTAATAATAGTTATAAATACATGTTAATAAAAGAAAACGGACTCCTTTATGAAGGATACAATTGTATAAAGGATGTTTAATTGTTAAGGTTACTGTATAAATGAAAAGATATCAGTATTGTCTTCTGTTGAATGTTTTGCTTTTCTTTTTCGAAGATGCCCCCTCCTAAGATGTATCTTTTACTGTTCGGGGTCTTATAGATTTTCAGATAATTGTATGAAGGTTAAAAGAAAAGTGAAAATAAAATTAGTCACCAATAAATTAAGTAAAATACCTACGTTGTTGAGATTTTTTTTGTGTTTGCGAGTGGTTGATATGATGAGCAAACAACAAAATCGCTCAAAAAAGCAATAGTTCAATTAATCTGATCATGTTTACCTTTAATCATTAGATAGTATTGTTTTAACTGTTTGCTAACACTTATCTAGCATGATTTTGCACAATATCATAGATATATACAGTAGCTATTGTATATGAGCCCCTTAGCATGTGTCAATACCGCCGCCATATTTGTACAGTGCTCCCAGAACAAATGTTATTCAACCGCACAGATCAAGACTGAAGCTAATCTGAAGATGCTGGACTTTAGTGCTGTGTACGGGCGTAGTAACGAGCGAACAAAGAAGATAAAGGCAGAACATTTCATAGGTAAGATTTCGTTTTTTGTAATTTTAAAGTTCGCACATTCATTAAAAAAAAACATTTAAAGGCTTAACTAGGTTAACTAGGCAGGTTAGGGTAATTAGGCAAGTTTTTGTATAATGATGGTTTGTTCTGTAGACTATTGAAAACAAAATATAGCTTAAAGGGGCTAATAGTATTAACCTTAAAATAGTTTTTAAAAAATCAAAAGCTGCTTTTATTCAAGCCGAAATAAAACAAATAAGAGTTTCTCCAGAAGAAAAAAATATTATCAGACATACTGTGAAAATTTCCTTGCTCTGTTAAATATAATTTGGGAAATATTTTGAAAAAAAAATCAAAGAGGGTCTAATAATTCATATATATATATATATATATATATATATATATATATATATATATATATATATATATATATATATATATATATATATATATATATATATATACATACATATATACATATGCATATATGCCTCCCGTTGGCAGTCCATCCTAATCCCACATTGATTTCAAAGGAGCCCTACCCTGTACTAAAATGGCGGCTCTATTGATGCATAACAATAGCATAGTAGGCGACATCTTGATCTATAGCACGATGCTAGCATATTTTATCAGGTTGCAATAATTGCATAAATACTAACCTTAATTTTGTAAAAATAATCTAAGCATGTGGCTGATTAATTGCACTTTGTACAGCAGGCCATCATTTATTCATAGATATATAATTGTGTATATATTTATCATGTCATTTGTTTAGAAAATGTTAGCATAGTTTAACATTGCGATTTTCATAAAGGGAAATATAACAAATGTACAAAAAGTTGAAATAAGTGCTGATCAGTATTTACAGTGGTCAAGAAATTTTTATTGATTTTAAAACATACTTATTAAAAATAAAGAAAAAATTATTCATTGCTCCGTGTATAATGGGAAAAGCAACTATTTTAAAGTTTAGTCAGAAGAAATTTGTGTGAGGATAAATAAATGTATATAAGAACTGATTATGAGCATGAATAAAAAGCGATTAACAATGAATTAAAATACAAATGTAATCAATATATTACCATGGTTTTTATAACGGACCCTGTTGCGCCTTCTAGTGAACTAGATGAGAATATTCTGATAGGAACCTTTGTTCAGACCTTCTGCTTCTACACGAACATCTATTAGAACACAATCACATGGGATGTCAACACGACTGGAGCTACGAGTTATTTCATGTTTTAATACTCCTGGAATACTTTAAACCTTCATCTAAATGAAATTAGCAAGTAATGTACTCTAATATTGTATGCACATGATCATTATGGTATTCGTATAGAATTGTTTGATTAATATTGGGATCGTACGGTAGTGTAAATCAATATCTGCATGTTTTGCTTTATTAATTTAAACAATTCTAATATGACATAGAGTTTCGTATAATTTTGATATGACCATATTAATTGGTATATACTATATTGTCAAAATAATGCCGCTTTAAACCGAACCTTCACCTAAACACCGGCTCCGTGGTACAATGGGCACTTTCGGTACGGAATCGCCGCTGCGGCTGCAGGTGAGCTCGTGCCTGAAGACTCTTTCCACTTCACGGGATTCCGGGGAGATCGTGCACGCACTGCGGACACTCATGAGGTGCCTGGACGACGGAGAGTTCACGCGGATTCACCACACGCACGCGCTTCAGGTTCTGGTTAGCGCGCAGAGCTCGCACTGGTTCAGCAGGTCACACGATGAAGATGAGGAGGAGATGAAGAAACTCTGGGGGGAGATTATAATCAGAGGACCAGCAGAGCAAACACTCCTGACCCTGCTGGACACCATCAGCTCCACTGGGTCTGTCTGTCTGTCTCTCTGTCCATCTTTCTTGTCTCTTTCTCTGTCAATCCATATATCTGTTGGTTCATCGTTCCTTCTGTCTATCTTTCTGTCTGTTTGTCCACCCGTCTTTCTGTCTGTCTATCTTTCTGTCTGTTTGTCCACCCGTCTTTCTGTCTGTCTATCTTTCTGTCTGTCTATCTTTCTGTATGTCTGTCTGTCTGTCTGTCTGTCTGTCTTTCTGTCTGTCTTTCTGTCTGTATGTCTGTCTATCTGTCTGTCTATCGTTCTGTCTGTCTATCTTTCTGTCTGTCTGTCTGTCTGTCTATCTTTCTGTCTGTCTATCTTTCTGTCTGTCTGTCTGTCTGTCTGTCTGTCTGTCTATCTATCTGTCTGTCTATCTTTCTATCTGTCTGTCTATCTTTCTGTCTGTCTATCGTTCTGTCTGTCTATCGTTCTGTCTGTCTATCTTTCTGTCTGTCTGTCTGTATGTCTGTCTATCTTTCTGTCTATCTTTCTGTCTGTCTATCTGTCTGTCTGTCTGTCTATCTTTCTGTCTATCTTTCTGTCTGTCTGTCTGTCTGTCTGTCTATCTTTCTGTCTGTCTATCTTTGTCTGTCTATCTATCTTTCTATCTGTCTGTCTGTCTATCTTTCCGTCAGTCTGTCTGTCTTTCTGTCTGTATGTCTGTCTATCTGTCTGTCTATCTTTCTGTCTGTCTTTCTTTCTGTCTGTCTGTCTGTCTGTCTTTCTGTCTCTATGTCTGTCTATCTGTCTGTCTATCTTTCTGTCTGTCTATCGTTCTGTCTGTCTATCGTTCTGTCTGTATGTCTGTCTATCTTTCTGTCTGTCTGTCTATCTGTCTGTCTGTTTATCTTTCTGTCTATCTATCTTTCTGTCTGTCTATCTGTCTGTCTGTCTATCTGTCTGGCTGTCTGTCTGTCTGTCTGTCTATCGTTCTGTCTGTCTATCTTTGTCTGTCTATCTATCTTTCTATCTTTCTGTCTGTCTGTCTTTCTGTCTGTATGTCTGTCTATCTGTCTATCTTTCTGTCTGTCTATCTTTCTGTCTGTATGTCTGTCTTTCTGTCTGTCTGTCTGTCTGTATGTCTGTCTATCTGTCTGTCTGTCTGTCTGTCTGTATGTCTGTCTATCTGTATGTCTGTCTGTCTGTCTGTCTGTCTGTCTTTCTGTCTTTCTGTCTGTCTTTCTGTCTGTATGTCTGTCTATCTGTCTGTCTATCGTTCTGTCTGTCTATCTTTCTGTCTGTCTGTCTGTCTGTCTATCTTTCTGTCTGTTTATCTTTGTCTGTCTATCTATCTTTCTATCTGTCTGTCTGTCTATCTTTCCGTCTGTCTGTCTGTCTTTCTGTCTGTCTGTCTGTCTGTCTATCTTTCTGTCTGTCTATCTATCTTTCTATCTGTCTGTCTGTCTATCTTTCCGTCTGTCTGTCTTTCTGTCTATCTATCTTTCTGTCTGTCTGTCCATTTCGTCTGTTTGTTTTTTGTCCGTTTGTCTGACTCTGTCCTTTTGTCTGTCTGTCCATCTGTCTGTCTGTCTGTCTGTTAGTAATTTTTGAGTAAACTCATTTTAATGATCTATTATATTAGTGAGATATTAATGTCTGTTGTCTCTTACACACAGTGAGAGTGAGGCTCTGGATCGGTGTGTGTCTGCTCTGGAGATGTTTCTCTCTGCTGCTCGTCTCCAGGTGTTGTTGTGGTCCAGGTGTGAAGTGAGCGGAGCCTCCGCAGACTCTCCTCAGCTGACGGAGACCGTGATTGGCCACCTTGCAGCTTTACCCTCCATCACCTCCAACCATCTGCACACGAACACACCTGACATCTTCCTTCCACAGCAGTATTACCCTCTGCTGGCTGCCAGCATACTGGACACGCTGGAGAAGACATGCCACGCTCTCAGAGGTATCACATGCTCAGGGGTGAAATCGCTGCATATACAGAAACAAACATATACAGTTGAAGTCAGAATTATTTGTGCCCCCTTTTTTTATATTTTTCCCCTATTTCTGTTTAACTGAGAGACAATTTTTTCAACTAATTTCTAATCACAATAGTTTTATTAACTCATTTCTAATAGCTGATTTATTTTATCTTTGCCATGATGACAGTAAATAATATTTGACTTAATGTTTTTCAAGATACAAGTGTTCAGCTCAAAGTGACATTTAAAGGCTTAACTAGGTTAATTAGGGTAATTAGGCAAGTAATTTTATGAAGATGGTTTTCTGTAGACAATTGAAAACAAATAAGGCTTAAGTCTTTATTCTAGCCAAACTGAAACAAATAAGACTTTCTACAGGAAAAAAATATTTTAAGAAATACTGTGAAAAATTCCCTGCTCTGTTAAACATCATTCGGGAAATATTTGAAGGAAAAAATGGACAGGAGGTTTAATAATTTAATGCAGTGCATATTTTATATTATTATTGCCACTCATGCCTATCCATTGCATCATTAAAACCACAGCATGCTTAATACATTGTTTGAAATATTGTCAGCATATTGTAATGCATAGTCACCAAGGCAGATTTTAATTAGTGCTGTCAAATTCTTTTTGTGATTAATCACATCCAAAAAAAAATAAAAAATTCAAATAATGTATACGTACTAACTATATTTAAATATTATATAATATTATATATATATATAAATAAATAAATATATATAATATCTATATATAATAAATATATATAATCAAATATTAAAAAAATATATATATATTTATGTATAATTTGTGTTAGATATAAATGTATAATTTACACATATAAATAAAATGTTTATATATATATA